TCTTTCCCAGGCTTTCTATATAGACCTCCTGGGGAGGCAGCAGCCCATTCAACACGGATGGGTCCGTCGGCTTAGCAATCGTCCCAGTCCATGTGGTTTCTCCCGTCTCCCCAGGGCGTGAATCCGCATCTCCGGATTAACGGGCCAATGAACATCAACCACTATGCGACGAAGAAGAGTGTGGCGGAGAGCATGCTGGACGTGGCACTGTTCATGGCAAATGTCACGCAGCTCAAAGCGGTGCTGGAGCAGGGGCCTTCCTTCCAGTACTACGTCACCCTCATCGTGCTCATCAGCATCTCCCTCTTCTTCCAGGTGATGATCGGGATTCTCCTCATCATCACTGGTAAGGCGGCCGCCGAGGCACGTGCGCCCTTGCAGGGTGCTGCTACAGTAGGGCACCCCATGGCTTGGCCGGCATGGGGGTGGGAAGAGGAAGCCTCTTGCCCTGAACCTTTTCCCCTGGCTCCAACCAGGGCTGCAGGAGGGTTGAAGACAGCTTGACGTGGGCGGTGTGGAGGTCTGTGTTACTGCTTTTCAAAGTGGGGAGTGGGTTGGTTTTTTTTTCTCTTGCACAACAGCTCTTAGCAATACTCTTCCTTCGCTTCCCCACTGCTGAATCTCTGTTGCAGGGAGGGAGCTGGGTTTTGGGCCTCTTGCTGCCCATCCTGTAATATGCCCCTTCATGCAGCTCCTGCAGATACTACGTTTTAGCTGTATCTTTCACCTCACGCAAGCTGGGGCCTAACAGAACAATTTAGGCAGAGGTATTCCCTCTATTAACCTCACATTTAACCAGTCCCACAGTTGTCCTGTACAGACAGTATGTTAACACCAGCATTTCAGACAGGTTTGCCCAGTGCTCCATCTGATACAGGAGTTGCTATATTTCAGCCTCCAACACATGCCCAGTATTAAAAGTCTGCAGAATGCTGGCTTTTCCTGTATATCCTACGTGGTTTTTTATGTGGGACACAGGATCGGAGGCTCTGGGAAATCCTGTGATGTGTTCCTTCCCCTGCCTGACATGGCACAGCCTTTCCCAGTGGCAGCCGCGGTGGCTGGAGCCAGCTGTGAGGAGAAGGGGGACAGGGGAGTACAACTGACGGCAGGGAGCCACAAGGCTGCTGGTTGCGTGGCTTATGGGCCAGATGGCCCCTGGCCATGCAGTGGGGGGGTCACATGGCACATGCCTGGCTGGCATGCAGTAGTAATTTGGCTATTTAGGGCTGGCCTGTTGGAGGGCCACGGCACCTCCATGGCAAAACAAAGACATGACATAAAAAAAAAAAAGATGTTTCTCCCCTGCTCCATCCTCCTATGTCGTCCTAGGGCAAGCTGTGGCCCCTGTAAAGTTCCTGGGACTGCCAGCTCTGTGGCCGCAGTGCCCAGGGGCACCATGGACATTCACTACACAGGGAAGGCTTGCAGGGGCTGGGGGACTTGGAGTCAAGCTACAAATCTCCCTTTCTTTTTGCATTGTATCACACAGCTCGTTTGAACCTGAATGATGTTGCAAAGCAACCCCGCCTGAATATACTCAACAATGCTGCCACAGCTCTCATCTTCATCACAGTCATCCTCAACATCTTTATCACAGCCTTTGGGGTGCAGAAGACTGGCCTCTACCCTACTAGGAATTTTCGACCTTATTAAGTCATGGGGCAATGGAGTCAGGTAAGAAAGGGGTGAGTTTCCATCACTGCCAGCCCCTGGAAGGGCTCTCAGTCTTGGAAAATATCATTGCAAAGTGGAGGAGGAGAAGGCAAAGCTGCACAAGTTAACAGAGCCTTTCCAGAGGCATGTTGTTGTCCCACAAGCATCTGGGCTCATTGAACAAATTCCCTCAGAGAAGGATTTCTCCTTGCTTGGTCTTTAAGGCAAGAACACCGAACATCCCAACTGCTGGGATTTATCAGCAGCAAGTGGTTTTCAGAAGGCTGCAGATCTCACACTAGATACGGATAGCAGTTGTGGATGGGAGCTAAATTTGGGAAAGAAAAATAGGTGTGTTCTGGGAGGTATCCACAGATGGTAGTGTTATCGGAGCAGAAGAAAAGGAAGGTGCTGGTGGGGCGGTGGTAAAAGAGCTCTTCACAACAGCCAGTGTGGTTTGGCAGGGGCTGTTTTAAGAATCTAACTCTCATTTTCAAGAGAGAGTTTTGTGAATAACAGTCCAACCAAATGCTTGGGTTCCCATGTCAGGGCAATGAGGGAATGACATGTTCTTAGGTTAAAAGTACTTTAGGTCAAGAAGCAAAGTTCACATCTCTTGCTTACATGACCTGCAACATGTAAACATAGTTTAAATGCAATATACGGGGGCAACAGCCAGCAAGAAAGCTTGATAGACGTTTGATATGATGAGGGAAGATGCAAAGGCTAAAAGCATATATAAAAACACTGCTGGCTTGGGATCCAGAAGGGTGTGAGCACTGAAGAGCAAGCACCCCTCACCCGTAGGGGTGGCTGTGGTGCTGAGTGACGCAGTACGCCGTGACTGCTCCTCTCTGCCCGTGCAGCGTGGAGCAGCCTGCTGCGACCTTACCTGCGTTTCTTGTCTTCCCCACAGGATCCGAGCAGCGTGGCTGGCAGGGAAAGCTCTCCTCCTCTACGTTTTCACTAACCTCAGCAGGAGCCCATTGACGAATCCAGAGAACTGGGTTAAACTTTCAAAACTGTGTGCATGTCATCGTATACCGGCCCCTGACCGTAATGCTTTTGCAGTTCTGAAGGGGTGAAGACATTGCTTTTCAAAGCTAGAGAAACTTTGCTAGAGAAAGCTGCAGGAACAGCAGCAGGTACACAATTTCAAAGCACAGTTCTGTAAATCTCATCCCTTATTTTAGTTGCCTGCTTCACATATTCAGTATTGGCTCATTTTGTAGAGAAGAGTGAACAATTTACTTTGTAGGCTAAGGAAACAAGAAAAGTCCAGCTTTTTTGTCTCAAGCATAAGTTACTATACTTAAAGCAATGCTATCTAATAGTTTACCTCCCAAATGTTGGAATGGATTTCTCAAACTAAAAAAAAGAAAAAGTTCTCATGGGAAGATAGAAAAGTGTGTGTATGTCAGCATAGCTAAAACCAGTTCAAATGTTTTCCTAGTTGTTTAAAAATAAAATTGAATGTGACACAGTTAAGAAAACAATCAGATATTTCCAGCACTGGAAAATTAACAATGACAGAAAACAGATATTGTGGTCTGATGTCATTGCCAGGGACCTACAAGGAATGATGTCAGAATAGCCTCACAATATCTAGTAGAAAATGAAGAAACATTCTATATAAGGAGACACTCTAGGCTTACTGCCACAATGAGAAATGACAGGTGCATAGTGTATTACTTTATGAAAAAATCACCATTTAAGGTCTTATCACTAACATAAATGTTTTTAAATATATCATTTTTATATTGACAATGCTGGGAATTCTCTTGTACTAGAACAATTTGTTTCCTTAAAAAAAAAGTCTTTGAATTAATGATTTTTCAGATTTTTTTTGAAAGAATAAAAATTTTCAATCCTAAATTTTGTAACTCTGTAGTCATGCTAAAAAATTGGTATTTTAATAGCTTGGTGTAAGCCTGTTTAAATAATGACATGCTTTTTCTGATTATTAAAAGATTTTTTCATTGTATGGCAGAATCAGTGCTCAATATGGATTTTTCATTTTGTATATTCTTGCCACCACTGAGAAAGAAATGTCATGAAAATGTCCACACATTGGTCTTCAGGAGCTACTGGGAGTGTCTGACACTTAAACAGATATGGGCAAATTTCATTTGGACTCTATATTTGACTTTACAGAACTGAATTTCTGCTTAAGTCACAGGTGGTGCTTTTTTCTGGAGAAGGTGTGAATGATCTTGCCCACAAAGGCTGGTGGGTAAGGCTATGGGCCAGCGTCAGCTAATACCTGCAAATGACACTGGCTTTTTTTGCTGCTGAAGGAAAGTTGCATAGAAAGAGTAAGGTGGAAAATACCGGTTATGTATTTACCAGAATTTAAATCAGCAAAGCTGAGCACAGTCTGGGATCTGTTTGGTGAAGCAGGTAAAGACTCGTCCTCCACTCTGTCCAGGGGACGGCAGGTCTGGAGCAACACCGAGTTTGCTGCTTATCTCGGTCCTCAGTCTCTCCCGATACCAACAGCAAGCGGGGGTGACTGTTTCTGGGAAGCCTCTCTTATCCTGTGCTCCTCTAGGAAAAGGCTTCACTGTAGAGGCAGCAAAACTAGTTCTAGCCAATGCAAAACCACCAGCTAAGGGCTTTCAGCCACTACTGGCTGGCTGGGTTCATGAAAAGGTAAAAAATTATGCATCCCGTGTGCAGATCCCAAATCCTGTGACTCATTGCTTCACAGAGCAGGAGGCAAAGCAATTAGCATTGATGACTGAATGTAAAGAGAGAAAAAAAAAAAAGAAAAGGTTCAGCTGGTAAAGAAGCAGTGAGGGGAATTTGATTACCAGATCTTAACTTCAGCATCATCGTCTCAGAGAGCTGCCAGGTCAGGTACGGCAGCGTGCGAGGCCTGCCCGAGCAGAGAGGGCTTCCCGTCACCCAGCCGAGGCGAGAAGACCAGCAGTGTGCTGGAATGCTTTCCCCCCGTCACCTTTAATAATCGTTTCTCATTATAATGGAATCAGACTCATTAGCAACCTTGGCTGCCTTTTTCCCTCTCCATGTCTGACTCCCATTCCTGCCAAGGTTTTTATACTCGAAGGAGGCAGGCACAGTTGAAGCGAAAAGGGACCAAATTTGAAGCTAAATAAGGAGTTGCTGTGAAAGAGCTGACCTCCCATTTGTGTAGGCTGTGCTAAGTATTGAGCTCAGGTCTAGGCTCTCACCTGTGGTCTTCTTCAGGAATTGTCCCCTGCTTGCGAGAGGGGCCACTTCGCTCTCTGCCTTCTCTCTCTATGATCACGTCGCACTTGTGCTTTGCCGAGACATGTATTTGTCCAATGTTTCTACCTTGTTTCACATGATAAACCCAGGAAGACAGGAGAAAAACTGTTTTGTTGCCATCCCACTTTCTACAGCCCTAGAGGGGACTGAAACAGGTAGGTCTCGCTCCTGGCCAACTTTGCTCGCAGCATCTCCCACCCGCCTCTTGCTGTCTTGGGCAGAGAGCGACCTCTCTGGTATTGCCTAAACCTTTGGTTATATGAATCCAGAGGAGCAACACCTCGTTTCTAATCCCTGCTGCATGGCGATGTGGGTGTGAGTAACACACAGACAGAACTGAGCTCTTGTAGGAAGACAATGTATTTATAAAACGTGAGGGAGAATCAGTGTATCCCCCAGCTCTAACAGAGAGGTGGCCCAGGAGTCATCTTGAAGGCACGGGGCCACTTTAAGGCAGATAATTCAAAGGTACAATTCAGATATTTCACACAAGGCATGGGTATCTAAAAAACAATCAACTTCAGATGTTTGTAGACAATGAGAAGAGGCGAGATGTTCATACTGGGCAAACGTTAAAGACAATGACAAAACAAGTCACGTTATAATTTTCACACAATACATTTCTCTCAGAATAAAAGCCAGCCCTTCTTCGTTCCCTTGCAAAACAAGCCTCAGCCCCACAATTCACAGTCCTGAAGATGGAGTTAGCATTTGTGGGCAGAGCCCCTTTGCTGTGCACCCCACGCTTGGGGGCCCAGGGTCCCCAGCCTGGCCACATCCTGCCCCAGGGAAGGTCTCTTCGGCAGCGTGGCCCATCATCTCCCCAGCTGTCCCCAGCCAGAGCTACTGGCGCAGCTCCCTCCTGCCTGTCTGCCTGATGCACGGGAAATCCCACGCAACCGATTTCCTCCTGCTGTCAAGGCCGGACACAGCCAGGATGCACATGAAAGTCAGAAACTCGGGCAAACTTCACCGCAAACTCAGGCACAGCTTCCTAATAAGATCCTGGTGACAGAAATGAGATCGACTGTTGGGGGGGGTCGGCTTCCCAGCTGTGGTGAAGCCATGTTCCCTCTTGCTCTCCAGGAGCTGTGCCGGACCCAGAGAGCCCTCGCAGCAGCAGTGCACGCCGTGCAACACTAGGGACAGGGCGAACCACCTGCTGATCAGGGACCGTGGTGGCCTGGCCACCACCCTGGATGGCCAAATCCTTTCACGGCATGGCTGTGCGACTACCTGTTCCTGCTGTGCTCCCTGCTCTGCCCCTCTTCGTGATTCTGTCTGGGGAGAAAAACTGCAGGTTGTTTTGGAAGAGGGGGAGCAGCCTCAGAGCAAAGCCCAGCACCGCTCCTGCAAGATTTGCTGCTGGCCAGCGAGCCAGGGAGCATGTAGCCCCTTCTCTCCCTACAACCCGCAGCGGTCTCTGAGGACGTGGGCTGGGAGACAGCTTTTGTCCCCATGGGCTCTCTCCAAGCTCCTCCACGGAGGCTGCCAACAAATGCCAATTAGTATTAATCACGTTTGCTACCACAATGCTTAAATACCAACTAAGAATCCCCACTGTGCTAGAAAGGGAAGAACATTTGTGATGGCAACTTTGACAGTGGGGATACTGGCCATCAGGAAACTGCACTGAAACCCACAAATTCCTTACATTTCCACCAAAGAGTCCTCATGAGGTAAACAGTTCTGCCTGCTGCTGGCCTGCGTTACAAGGCGTGAAGGAAGGAGCACTGTCAAGGCTAAAGCATGGGGGCGAAATCCTCAAATTCTGCTGGCA